ACAATGAAATCACAGTTTTACTTCAAAATTCAAATACTTGTATGACCGCTATAACAAACCTTTGCTTCATGGTTCAAAAATAAAATGGGTAAATACAATATATTAGCCACAACTATTATGAAGCAGGGAATTATAGCCACAACTATGCAAATTCAAATTATTAACCATAACTATTGTTGCGGGTCAAGATATGGCTAACTGTCCGTTACTATTACTGAATTTTTTATGGAGAAGGCAACATCATCGGCCATGGCAGCAGCCACGTCAGACTGTTTTGTAATTTATAACATTAAAACATAAAAGTTTAGTCAACATTACTAACGAAATTGTTAACATAGATTTAACATTTGGCTAATAATTTGAATTTGCATAGTTGTGACTATAATTCCCCGCTTCATAATAGTTGTGGCTAATATATTGTACTAGTCTTCATTACCCGCACTCCGCGCTGGGATTTGAGGCCTACCGAAGATACATAATTGGATCATTTTGTGTTTCAAGAGATATATATCATGATATGACTGATTTAATGTTGGTTTAGCACTGATGGTTTACATTATCGGTTTAAAATCTCAAGGAAGCCACGAAGAAGAGGATTTTCACAATGGTATACCGTTGTTGGATTGTGCTGCAAAAAAATGAGCAGCATCAGGTTCTATTGTATGTATGATCAAATGAAGAAAAGACCAAATCACAACTTGTAAGATATCAGTCCTCTGAGAAATTTTAAAATCTTTTAGACTATTTACAAATTGTGGTTTAATATGTAAAGCAGGAATTTAGTAGAGACAAAATCCATATACAATTGTTCACATCAAATAATACTAAATTTTTTATCGAAGAACTTCTGTTACAAAACCAAATCCAGACAAATCTGGAAAATCTCGTGGGGGATCTAACCCACTGGTACATATTGTGCAACTAATGTGACCATTTAATAACCAAAACTACCTTCAGACACCTGCATATAAGATAACAGAAAGGAACAGAACTTCAATTGCTGCTCATTAGTATTCTCAGATAAGAAAAGGTAAGGATTGTCACAAACTAAATGAGATGACACTAATATGTTCAAACACTCAAGTAACCACTGATTTGTAACTCTTTTGGATGGCCATACATTCAGAACACAGGTAATATCATAGTGGATCAGTGGAACTATTCCAATCACAAAATGAAGTTCCCTAACCATCCATGACCACAACCTAGCAAATTTATTTGTAAAGAAAATAAGACCAGCAACTTTAAAAGGGAAAAATAACATGGACAGTAAAGCTAATAGAGAAAAATCCCTCACCCTCAATCCGTAGCTTACCATTTAAACATAAGAACGCATAATCTACAAATAGAATGAGAAGAAATAGAGCAGTTAGTAATCACACCATTATCATCAAATCCAATGACAAAAGCTTCGGAGGAATAGTGACAAATCACATGAAACCATCAAAGCAGCTTAGAAAATGATTCCGAGAAGGTTCACATCACCACCATCATCATAAGTACACACAACCAAACAAATATCAGATAACAAAAAGAAAGTACGAAATCGGAATCGGAACCAATTTGGAAAAGAAATCATCGGAGTATATACATGACAGTTGGAAGGCAAAAACACAGGGTAAAAGTCAGAAAAAGGCAACGTACCAAATGGTGTGCCAGAACTTTGGTGTCTGGAAAACTGGTGGCGATGTTGTAGGATTAGGAAAGATCAAACCAAACCCAAACATTTGCTTCCAACAAAGGCTACTGTAATAATTCAGCAGAGAGGATATTTAAGATTCATATATGAGAATCGAAGATGCTTAAGAAAAAGCGACCACTACAAACCTCACCATTAAATATCTTCCTGGGGCTCCTCCCTATTTTTTGACTTCTACCATCACCATCGCAGCTTCAACAAACGCCGGAAATCAATTAGTCTTCAACGTCTGCATCGACGCCAAAGAAAGAGTCCCCACCGACTTGATCTCAGCGAGGAGAGGAGAGGAGAGGAAGAGACCAAACCCATGATAGATAGAGAAACCACCTGAAGAATAAAATTTTCCCTTGAAACATGCAGATCCATCGACCAGTGTGCGCCTTCCTCTTGTAGATAATGCAGCGGTAGCAAAAATGGGTTCCCCATCTTGTCAATCTCCTGTAGGAGTTCGATTTTAACAGCCCAACTCACAACGCTTCAAACCGAATGCCATAGGCTGGGAAAAGCTTAATGAACCATAGCATTTTTGAATCTATAAACACCCCTAGATGTCGTCGCTGAATCACCAGCCCAGATCTCCTCTAAAAGAACCCGACAGATCTAGAAGATGAACAAACTGCAAAAAGAGTGAAGAGGATAAATCAGGGAGAGGATAAATCACCTGAAATCAAAGACATAACCGACTTGCCTGGATCTTACCCGGATCCTTACCGAAAATCTCAAAACCGCCTCTTGATCGCTTTCAAATCCGTCCATCTCCTAAGAAGAGAGACCAGAAAAAGCAACATAGATAGGAGATGGAAAGAAAGAGAGAGCGAGAAGTAGATAAGATAAAGGAGTGAAAAGAGTTCTGAATTCTTATCTTTAATATACACAATCTGCACTCCCTCCCTTATCCTGATTTGACCCACTTTCTCTCTTGGCAACGGGCTGAATTAGGTGGAATATGTGGTAGAAAAAGGGGCACAACAACCAACGGCGGGCTTCCCAACTTTGCCAACCCCAAGGTGAGAGAATTCGCCGAGTGATCAACGCGTGAGAGGGGACGTAAAGTAACCGTAACCAAAAAGGAAACTATGGTAAAAACGCAACTGACCCACCTAGTTTCATTCATTTCCAATGAGCCCTCACCAAATGGCCGCCCACACCCAGATCCCTTCCCAGTCGAAACAGTAATTCTGAGTCACTAACAACAGTAAAAGGTCTCTTGGGCTACAGGGAATGGGGATGTTGGGGGATTTCTTTTTTCAATTTACCCAAAATAAAAATATATTCAGAGGTCGTTTGGTAGTTGTGATTGTTAGAGTTGTGTTTGTTAAATACATGTATTATGTACAATACAATGTTTGGAAGTGTCAAGTTGTAAAACAATGCATGTATTGTCTTGTGTAGGCCCCACCAACAATCACAAGAAATGATGCATTATACAATCTCAACTAAAAGTTGAGATTGTTGCTTTTAGATTTGTGTCCACTTTTTCTTTCCATTTATATCACCAATATTTTTTGTTTTATACTAAAAAGTGAGGGTAAATGTGACATTTCCCTATAAAGTAATTTTATGCAAATCAATACACAAACTAGAATCTCAACAACCAAATAATGTATTGTCAAAATGCATCTATTATATCAATGTATGTATTTATATTGTAGACTTGTAGTGATTCATTATGGCTTAATTGCAAGTTTGGTCACTCGAATTGCTACAAAATTTCACGTTTGCCACTAAAATTAATTTATTCCATTTATAGTCACTTAAATTAGGTTAACAGTCCAAGTTTGGTCACTGGCCGTTAGTCTCCGTTAACTTTTGCTGATGTGGCGGTCAACTCTTATAGTTGACCGTTAAATGCATGAGGTGGCAATTAAAAAATTAAAAAATTAAATTTTGGCCCAATTTTTGACTTTTGTTTAAACAAACCACTTTACCAAAAACAACAAAAATTGGTTTTTGTTTTATTATTTGGATCAAAATCAATCACTTCCCTTTTCTCTGTACACGAGCTCCTTCCCTTTTCTTATTCACTCTTCTGTTGCTCCGCCATTGTTGGCCACCTCATAAGCTATTTTTGTTTATTAAACCTTTTCGTTTGGGGAAGTATTGTCGGCTCGCCTGCTGCTAGCTTGTGCATTTTCTGTTTGGCATCCGAGAAATCTTCCCCGTGTTTCCCTGAACCTACTCGTAACATCAGAAGCTACAAAATGAACAAGCACTGAACACAATCCTCTCTCTATCCCTCTCTAGATCCATCTCGCTTTGAAACCACCTCCAGGCAATGGTGATCCGCGAAGAGAAACCCCAGTCGTTTCGCAGATCTCCCCTCCTAATAGCCATTGTCTTTGAAATTCTTCTCGGTTGCGTTTTCGCCATCTTGTATCATCAATGATTCTCAGTTCTGATCCGGCCATTGCGACGGCTAGTCGAATTGCCGAATCATATCTCCAGGTTCGCAACTCTCTGCCCTAATGCAGCCGACTGCAAGTCTCGCCTTCCACTGTTACTCTGTTTCCCCCTCAGTGGCGCTCTTAAATTCGGGCTCCTTCTATTCTAATTAAGCGTCTTCTGCTGTGGAGTTGACTTTTTTTTCTGTCTTTGAGCTTTGAATCCAAGAAGCAATTGCTCGCCGGCGAGTTGGTCTTCTCCAATTGCTTCTTCCTTCAGTTTCTCCATCTTGGCGCATCAATGGCGAGGTTTTCGATTCTGGCTCTGTGGCTTTTTTTATCCAATTCCCCACCCGGAACGTCGACGGAAGTTCCCCGGAAAGACATCTAAAGCCGGAGAAATTCCTGGAGAAGAAATCGGATTACGCGCAGAAGAAAAGAAACTAAATTAAATTTATTTTTATTTTGTAATGAATGTAGGAATGAGGTAGAAATTTTAAATAATTAATTTTTTATTATATTATTTTTGAATGGCCACGTCACACATTTAACGGTCAACTATCAAAGTTGATTGCCACGTCAGCTAAAGTTAACGGAGACTAACGGAGAGTGACCAAACTTGGACTGTTAACCTAATTTAAGTGACTATAAATGGAATAAATTAATTTGAGTGGCAAACATGAAATTTTATAGCAATTCGAGTGACCAAACTTGCAATTAAGCCGGTTCATTATAATACAACGATTTAGCATTCGCAACTTCTTCCAAACGACCCCTCGCTTCTTTCGAACCTGATTTGTTCCCCACCGAACTCCGTGATCCACCAGCTCGAGGCAAGCTGAACCGGAACCCGGAACAGCGAACAGGAAAGTCGTTTCTCGAGAGCAGAAGACGTCACTCTTCCGTCTCAACATACGAAAATGTCCACCGCCGCCGGCGCCAAGCAACAGTCGTTCACCGATTCAGATTCCGATTCAGACCACTCGCAGTCCGGCGAATCCAACTCCGCCCGCCGCCACACCGACCTCTCCAATTCCATCTTCAAATCCTACTTCGACCTCACCGCAACCACCACCTCCGCCTCGCCGTCCCCGCACGACCTCTCCAAAATCCAGTCGTTCCTCAACTCATCCTCGTCCGGCGCCCTCTCATGCCTCATATGCCTTGAACGAATCCGCCCTTCCGATCCCACCTGGTCCTGCGGTTCCCTCTGCTTCGACGTCTTCCACCTCCTCTGCATCCAATCGTGGGCTCGCCAGGCGTCCGATCTCGCCGCCTTGCGAGCCTCCACTCGCCTCCCGATCACCTCGCAGAAGGCCGACGAGACGGCGATCTGGAATTGCCCCAAATGCAGGTCAGCGTATTCCAAATCTCAAATCCCTAGGACTTACTTCTGCTTCTGTGGCAAGCTCGAGAGTCCTCCGAATGATAATCCCTGGATTTTGCCGCATTCGTGCGGCGAGGTCTGTAACCGTCCATTGAAGAACAATTGCGGCCATTTCTGCTTGTTGTTGTGTCACCCGGGGCCGTGCCCTCCGTGTCCTAAACTGGTTAAGGCGTCGTGTTATTGCGGCAAGATTGAAGATGTTCGGCGGTGTGGGTATAAAGTGTATTCGTGCAACAGTCGATGCAATAAGCTGTTGGGTTGCAAGAGCCACAAATGTAGAGAGATTTGCCATGATGGAGAGTGTCCCCCTTGTCATGAACGCGGGGTTTATCGATGCCTGTGTGGGAAGAAAGAAGAGGCGAAGGAATGTTGTGAGAGGGATTTCAGATGTGAGATTCCGTGCAATAAACCATTGAGCTGTGGGAAGCATTTGTGCGAGAAAGGGTGTCACTCTCCGGAAGGGTGTGGTGGATGTCCGCTGCAAGGGAAGAGGACGTGCCCTTGTGGGAAGAGGGTTCATGAAGGAATGGCGTGTGATGTTGCAGTGCCGCTATGTGGAGATACTTGTGGTAAAATGTTGACCTGTGGGTTCCATAAGTGTCATGAAAGGTGCCACCGAGGGCAGTGTGCTGAGACCTGCAGAATGGTTGTCTTCAAGTCATGCCGTTGTGGAAGCTTGAAGAAAGAGGTAAAAACTTGTTCTAGATTATATGCATTTCGTTTGTAAGGTCGCTTCATAGTTGGTCCATAAACGAGTTGCCAAATGTCGAAAGGAACCGGAAACAGTGAATATATGATATTGTGCAATTTGTCTTTTTCGCTATATAGCAGATTGTTTTTCGGGCTAGATTTTACTGACTTGAGATTAGATTCCTTGCTATCAAGATTTAGCATGTGAGAGAAAGTGCCAGATAGCGAGAGATTGTGGACGCCATGCTTGTAGACGTCGTTGTTGTGATGGGGATTGCCCGCCTTGTGGAGAGGTTTGTGTAAAACATCTTACTTAACCGAATCTTCTTCACTTTGCTAGAATGTGACAGAGCTTTGAATTTCAGGTTTGTGGGAAGAGACTAAGGTGCAAGAATCACAAATGCCCTTCCCCCTGTCATAGGTATGATTTGTTGTAAGTGGCTTCATTGGACTATATAACAAAACTTGGAGTTGCAATATGGAGAGGGGGGTTGCACTACTGTATATTTGCAACAACATTCACATCTATGTGATGAGCTACTTCTGCGATTTAGCATTTCTAGGGACCAAGAGCAATATTGCTTTCATATTGTAGCTTTGCTCTCATCCGTTTATCATCATTTGCTTATTCTGTAGAGGTCCCTGTGCTCCCTGCCCTGTGATGGTTCCAATATCATGTGCTTGTGGTCATACACGATTTGAGGTTAGTTTTTCCCCCTTCGTCCAGACCCTGTTGCTACTGGCAGGAAGTTGTTTATTCATTCTTGCAGTATAAATTGGTGCTTATTGAAGTAGTCTTCAATTACTGGTTGATCTGATTTACTCGTCCAGACCCAGTTGCATACTTGCAGGAAGTTGTTAATTCATTCTCGCAGTATGAAATGGTGCTTATTGAAGTCATCTTCAGTTACTGGGAGCACTTCTACTATGCTATATAGTATTGGTGCTTTAATGTACAACTTAAAGTTGTACCATAACATTAAATGTATAAGTTTAGGTTGTACCATAAAGCAATTTGTATCATTATGTTATGGTACAACTTTACAACTTGAAATTGTACCATTACATAAAGGTACGAGTTCAAGTTGTACCATAAAAGAATTTGTACAAAAAAGTATAGGTACAATCTAAAGTTGTACCATAACGTAAATGTACAATTTTAAGTTGTACCATAAAGGCAAAATCTTATAGCACCAATACTATATAGCATTGTAAAATTTCTCCAGTTACTGGTTTACCTTATTTCTAAAGCTAGTGTCAGGACCTTATGTTTCAAAGTATAATTTGTCTTCTATTTTTATGCTAAAGGATGAAACAACAGATTCTCTATTCTATGATTTCTGCTATAGAATTGCTTGCATTGATTTGTCACAAATGCAAATTGATTGATTGGTGGTCGTTGATGTGTTGCTAGGTTCCTTGTGGAACAGAGAAGGACCAAAAGCCTCCTAAATGTCGAAAATTATGTGAAATTCCTCCTTTGTGCAGGCATGGGACATACGTCAAGGTGTTACTAAAAATGCTTTATCTCAAAATTTGGACTTTGTGCATAATTTTCATTGGTTTTAGCACTGTTGAAAACTTCTGTTTTATCCATTCCAGTGATTTGGTTATTGTAACATGTTATCTTGATGAGAGGTCTAACAATTTCTGATTTTGGAACTCTGTCCAGCCACACAAATGTCATTATGGTGCTTGCCCACCTTGTCGGTTAATTTGTGAAGAAGAGTACCCATGTGGACATAAGTGCCAATTAAGGTTCTCCTTTATTTTTTAGATAATTGACATTTTCCAATGTACGGTACTTGGATGGTAATTCTAGATATTCGCTTCAACAATCTCTCATTGTTTTTTTATGCTTCAGATGCCATGGTCCCATGCCCCCTCCCAAACCTGAATTCATGTTCAAACCAACAAAGAAAAGGCCTATTCATCAGAGCGAGTCTACCCCGGGGTCTCCTTGCCCTCCTTGCCCCGAACTTGTTTGGAGATCATGTGTTGGCCAGCACTATGCTGCAGAGAGAATGGTTGGTTCTATTCTGTGGTTTCATTTGTTTATTACCTGTGTTGATATTAGTCCACTGCACAGCCTTTCTTGTTCTTTTTATGTTCCTTTTCTCTCTGTTTGTAACTTGCCGTCTATTTCTTGTTTGCAATTTAGATGGTCTGCTCGAACAAAACCATGTTTTCTTGTGAAAATCTCTGTGGGAATCCTCTTCCTTGCGGCAATCACCATTGTACAAAGACGTGCCACGCTCTGAAGTTCAATACCTCAAATCGGTTGGGCCAAATTGGTAAAAGTGACTCGTGTGAAAAGTGTAATCTTCCTTGTGAAAAGGTAATAGACCTTCTCAGCTGAAACTTCTCTATTTAGATTAATTATGTCTTTCCTATATGTATATAGTTTACCAAAATTTATAATTGCATGATATTCAAAACACGCACAGGAGAGGAAGCCTGGGTGTACACATCCTTGCTCTTTGCGGTGTCATCCTGATGATTGTCCACCTTGCAAGGCGCTTGTGAAACGGTCTTGCCACTGTGGCTCTATGGTCCATGCTTTTGACTGCATTTACTACAACAGCTTGTCAAAAAAGGAGCAAATTTCTGCTCGTTCTTGTGGTGGGCCCTGCCATCGGTACGTAGATAGAACTACTCTCTTTTCTAATGGTTGATGGTGATGCTCTCGTGTGTGTGCATAGTGACCAGAGGCATGAGGATCTTGCCTTTTGTGCCTGCTGATTTTGCTGCCTCGTTTGCCTATCTCCACTTCTCTGTGATGGATCCTCTTATTGCTTTCCTTTGATATTTGAGTGACTAGATGCAAATACAACAAAGCGTTACGAAATTAAAAGTATAGAAAATGAAATCGAATGAGAAATCTAAAAAAGTATGACATGAACAAACATAAAAATGGGAAATTACTAGCCAAAGAGGCCCCTGGTCCGAGGGGTGGAACTTTCCGACTGGAGTAGCAAATCTAACCAAGAGTGGACCTTCCCTGTTCACCTAAGTTATTCTCGTGATCAAGAATAAAGTTCATTACAATGCTACGAAATTGCAGCTCGATGCTGTGGGCTGAAGTACTTCCTATATGGTTGTCCATTGGCAATAATTAAAGATCTTTCTTATGTTGCTGGATATAATTATTCTGAGACTTTGTATGCATTCACATGATGTCTTGAGTTGGAAGCTGTCAAGTGTCAACCCTCTCCTGGTCGTGCTTTTATGAGGCGTTCTGTGAGCCAACTGATTTTGAGAATACTTCTATTTATGGTTTCTGCCACTGTTGCAACAGCCCACAGGTTGTATTGGGTTTGGATATCCCATGAAGTCATAGTTGCATTATAGTTTATATCTATCAGGTCTAGAGGACCTATAACATCGTATTAGTATGTTAATAAGTTCTGAAACTATTGCCATGTTATTGATGCAGGAAGTTGCCTAACTGCACACATTTATGCCCAGAGACATGTCATCCAGGTGAATGTCCATCACCTGACAAGTGCAGCAAAAAGGTAGGAATAATTCTATCAGCTTAGATAAAGAACAAGGTTTGGATGATTTTTATCAGATCACCTAATGGATTATATGATGCTAGTTTTAGTTCTTGCTCTGAACTTACCTTGTAAAATATCCTTTTGGAAGGTTACTGTTCGCTGTCGGTGTCAAACTTTGAAAAAGGAGTGGCTTTGTAAAGATGTTCAGGAAGCCCATCGCACAGCTGGTTCTGATCCCAAAGATGTGTCTAAAAATCACTTTGGACTCGGACTTCTACCTTGTAATTCAGATTGCAAGGCTAAAATTCAAGTTGTGGACCAGGAACTGCATTTGCGTACATCAAAGGATGCTGAGGTTGGTGCCCTTTTACATTGGCCAGAATCTCACTTAGTAGTTAGTACTGCTAATGCATATCTGTTTGCATGTGATGATGAGTTTTAACTCGTGGAATCATTTTTTCTCTCAACTTTTTGATGTCATTGATGGTAGAATTTATCAGCCGTCTAAATGAACCTGCATTCATATATCCCGTTACTTGTACGTTTTCTTCAGAAAGGGTTGTCTGAAATGATAGCTGCCCAAACCCAAAAAGTTATAGGTTAGGTAGGCATCTATTCAAGTGAAACACCCTTGTGTGATAAAATACAAATCAAGTCACCCATCACTATCAGTTATTTACTACTGAGACTCTTTCAGCAGCATCTTGCACATTATTGGCTTAGGCAACTTTGAACTGAAATGTGTTATGCTTTTCACATCTGTGGTAGGAGAAAGACAGCACTACTGAAGCACAGCTTTCTAGACGTAAAAAACGACGTCAACGGTTACAAGAAGCAAAACAGTTATCCACACTCCAGGTAATGTGATAGACCGTTGGATATCCACACTCCAGCACGTGTTTAAACCGTTGGATTGCCCCCCTGCATTCCCAGCACTCCCAGGTGCACATCGGGATTGTTTTAAACCATCCTGTTCTAAAGGCTCATCGTTGGGAAGAATGCACAGGAGGCAATCCAACAATGAACAGTACAGTTTTGTTCGTCTTTCTTGACTACTGACATATCTAATGAGCTAATCTTACTATTTGGACCAGAAAATTCTCCCCGCCGTGAAGAAGCTCCTTCTAGTTGTCATCCTCGTGGGTACTCTGGTAGCTGCATCATACTATGGTTACAAGGGTCTGATGTGGCTCTCGGATTACATGAACGAAGTGGAAGAGCAAAGACACAGTAGCAAAAGAAGATATCCCAGAATCTAGCATATACACACCTGTGAGACCCTCAAGTAAGCATATTCCTCAAAAACTTGCTGCTTCATTTACTCTAATAAAGCAAGCCTCACACAGCAGAGAACACTAAGATTGATGGGGAAAGGGGTTCAAGCCTGTAGGGAAGGAGTTCAATAATCTGCTTCAATGATTTGTGGGACTAGTTGGATAAGAGTGGTTTTGTGTTTGGACATTTGGATTCCTTATGCATAGATTTACACACAACACTCACACTCACTCACTTCGGTGGAGGCTAGGATTGGACATCCTGTTGTTGTTTTGGGTTTGTGTGGTTATCTGTTGGAACCAAATTGGATGCCTCGACAGCAAAAATCATTGGGCATGCAGAACTAGAGAGGGGCCGGAGCGGCGATTACGGTGTCGTTATCTTGTTTTAACCTTGTTGTTGGATAGTGCTTTGTGTGGGATGTTTACTTGATACTTAAAACCGTTTTATCTATTAGTGAGACATGATTATAATAATGTGTACAATGCTGATAGGCGGTATGAAATTGTTGAATGTTAAAAACTACTTTGTCAGAAACTTTTTCGGTGAAACTTCTAGTACAAGCATGGATGAGCCGAAACTTTTTCGGTATGGAACACGCCAAACACACCATCGATAGTGGTCCAAGCATGGATGAGCCGAAAACTTCTTGGCTGCGAAGGCTTATGAACAACCTCTTGAGTTGTACTCGAGAGCAAAGGAGGGATGTCGTGGCCTATCCTCCCATTCCCGCTCCGGCACGCCCATCATTCCGTGATGGTGAGCCCATTGTGCCCCCGGTTGAGCCCCCACGAAGGAGCAAACGCAGGCCTCTGCCTACTTTCGAAGAGGTGCGTACAACTCAAGAAACCGAGCTCCCTGAACCATTTGAGTACGAGTGGGCACCTGCATCGGATGTCGTTGGAGGTTCATCTCAGAGTGAACAAAATTTCTCTCATTTCCACCATCAGCAACAGAGTTCGATGTATCACACCCCGCATCAACAAACCCCTCACCGCCCGATCTACCAGCAGGCTACCGGTCCATCTCAGCAACTTCATCGTCACTTGTAACTCCAGTAGGGGCTTGGGTTAAGAGACATCCGCGACAAGTCGTTGAGCGAGCCCGCCAAGAAGCAGAAGGAGGAGGTGGAAGAATGGGTCGAGGACGTCGTGGAGGACGAGGGCGAGCTGAGGGCCAAAATGAGAGGCAACCAAATGAAGAAAACCAGTGAACTATCTAGTGTTTTCGGTCTTGTGATTTGAGTTTGCATTGTCGTTGAGTTATCCATGTTGTTTTTAAAATTTTTAGGTCTTGTGATTTGAGTTTGCATTGTCTAAAAATTATCCTATGCACTTAAGTTGTCATTGAAACACTTTATTGATGACATTTTTTGTTTTATTTTTCTGGATCAATTTATCTAGAATTAGTATCTAAGCTCAACACGAAAAAGTTGGGAAAATCAATCACGATCATGTAGAATATTACAGATCTCAATTCCGAGTTCAAACGAGTGAGATAAGTTAGTTCAAAACTGCATATGTCGTTAGAGTAACGTTTGCGTACCTAAAACTAAAACGAACGTATCTTATTCGTTTGACGTCGAAATAACGAGCCGTTTGTGGCTACACTATCGTATCGACAAGGAGAACACTTTAGAGTGAACAACGGGGTAATGAAAATTAAACAAGTATTTCAAACAACGGGGTGGTGAGAATTCAAATAAGCTTACAATTTAGTACCACATTACAAGTAAATGAATATTAAGATAGATGTCTTGTACATCATTGGTCCTCGGTTATATCCGCATCATGCTGGAGTGGTTGGCCTGGGCAACGCCTCTTGTCATGACCAGGTTTTCTGCACTTTGAGCATCGCTTCGGTCCCCGCCTCGTGCGTTCAACTTGATCCATCTCATTGTGTATCCTTTCAACTCTAGGACGACCCTTAGTGCGTTTTAGGTGCAACAATGGGATAATCAACTTCCCAGCGTATATAGGACAATACGCTTCATCTGGCATGGGACTCAAAGCTGCATCATATGAGTTCCGTATCGCCTATTCAGTGTAGTAAGGACTCACAAGAGTGTTTCTGTTCATGGTTAATGACTTAGCTACTGCCATTGCATGTGAAAAGGGTATCCTCTCGTTTTGATATTTTTTACATGTACACTCCCCTGATTCGTAGTGCAGAGTAACCGTTTGACGATTGTGGCCACGTCAACCTCCACCCCATACACATGTTTCCACTGCAAATATCCCTTCACTGCGATCGAAAAGAACAACTTTATGTTTACTTGATTTTTCTTCGTTCTTCTGCATTTTCTCAAAAACGTCATGTGCTATCGGATGACTAGATATCTCCCTCCCTATCGCTAGCTGCAGCCGAGCCACCCGCCACTCGTTGACCTTCCAGTATGACATCTCCACTATGACAGAAATAGGCATCGCTCAAAGGCCCTTGTACACATTATTTATACTTTCTCCATGGTTGGTAGTTGCAATGCCCCATCTGGCCCCGTTGTCCATTTGGAACGTCCACATGACCAATTCTTGACCTTCAGCCCATACTGCTCCAGCTTGGTGAGTCTGGCGGATCGCCTTCATCTTCTGCTCGTACTTTTTTGGCTGATGTGCAACCGCTGCAAGGTGAACAATATAGAAATGGTCAATACATGATAAACAACAAATTATTAAACACATAGATAACTCGCATTAAAGGACATTAGTACCTGCATGCCACAATTGATTTTTGATGTCTTTCTTCTTTCCAAATTTGTGTTGAAAATTGGGGAGCCAGTGTCGAATACACCAGCGCCATGTCCATCCCCACTCGTCAGGAAAACCACCCACGGAATTCCTAATCCCCGTGTGTCTATCGTAATACCCTCACGCTGTGTCACGTGTTCGTGTAGTTGGTCAAAGAACCATGCCCAACTTAACCTGTTCTCCCCTTCCACTATTGCAAATGCAAGCGGGAAAATCCGCTTGTTTCCATCAACGCCAGTGGCAATGAGAAGAGTTCCTCTGTACTTCCCAGTAAGGAAGGTTCCATCAACCTAATTAAATATTAGGAAGTAATTAGTATGAAATTTACTTGGTCTGCAAGAATAGAAACATTTCAAATAATAAACATGTATTAAAATACCTGAATAACCGCTATGCAGAACCCAAACCCGTCAATGCATGGTTTGAAAGCCCAAAAAATACGGTGAAACATCAACTTCTCCTATACTCGAACTTGATCCTCAGTGTATACATTGTTGTATACTAGCACGAAAACAGTCCCAGGGTTTGACTCCTCCATTGCGGCCATAAGTCTAGGGAGTAAAGCATACAAATCCTCCCAATCACCATACACCTCAGCCAGGGCTTTCTGCTTTCCATGCCATGCTTTTTTGTACCTTATCGTGTAAGAATGTCGATCCTTCACCTCGGTCATTATAACTTTGACTTTGATATCTGGTTGTGCTTCAATAAGGTGTTTAATAGTTCTCCTAATTTTATTTGCTTTTTTCCTGTGATCTTGGGAACGTATGGACGAGGAGCAAGTGTGGTTGGTCTCGACTTTTCGAATCACCCAGGCACCCTTTCTCTTCATATTTACAGCCCGCGGTTGCCACGTACAGCCCTCTGCATCATTCTTGCATATGACATGTAATTGTTTACTGTCAGAATATCTTCCTCCTCGCTCACTAATCTCAAATCTTCCTCAGTATCCTCGTCGCTTGAGTCAAATGGATAGCTCGGCCCAGAAGGATCAACATGACCACCATCACCAACATCGTCTTCTCGCTCATGTGAAGTATGCCTTGCTCGAATGGTATTCTCGATTTCAGCCCACTTAGGCCCCCAAGCAGGCCATTGAACGCCATGGGCAGGTTGATCCTGTTGCGAGTATTCTTCCGACGGCACCCATCCTGCACTACTACCTCCACCGTAGTTGATTGAACTACCACCCTCTCCATAACTTCCTGTATAACCACCTCCTTCGTAGTTGCTCGAACTACCACCCCATCCGTACCCTCCTGCAAAACCATCATCATAAGAATACTGATGAGAATGAGTTTCACCGACCGCCTCGGTCTCAACATACACCTCTGCAAGCCGCATCCCGTTATCGCTTAGGAACTGTAACATCATCGTAACCACGTCATCATCGTTTATGACAACTTCTTGGTACACAACCCCGCCAGCACTCATGTATGGATACCGGTAACTAATTTTGCCAAGTCTAGTCTGTCCGCTCGTACAAACCCTGTCCGCACAAATATCACGGAGTTCTTGAAAATTGAATCGCGACTCAATTTTCAGCATAGTGGATTCACCGTTCTCATAATCAATCCCTATGTCAGAGTTTGTCACCCTTCCATTCCACCGAATAATAAGCCGAAACTTCTTGAATTTACCCATATCTACAATTTACAATAAGTTAAACTATTAGCTTAAAGACAGTAAAATTAACCGAAACCATATTGTACGACTAATATTACTCCATCTCATAACTAACGTAACATAAATTCAACTAACTAACAACAACATAAATTCAAAAATTAAGTACTACAATTGCTACGATAAGTAATTCATAACATAACAATATAACTACTAAAAACATCATTAGGCTATAATACGAAAATTAAATCATACTATAACTACTAAAAACCCATCATTAAGCTATAATACGAAAATTAAATCATACCGAAAATTCCCCGCCTGTGTATTATGCTCGGTTTTGGTTGCTGAAATTTGAAAAGGGGGGAGTGGTTATGTTTTTATAATTGCTGGTGGCCTGGTATTTATAGGAAAATCTGCCTACTATTCACCGTTTTTGTCAAACACGGTGAACACCATCACCGCGTTTGTCTCAAACGGTGAACATTAGGTAGCTCTTACCTAATTTTCACCTAACAGGGGTTGAAAACGTGCCTAATACTCACCGTTTTAACCTAGAACGGTGAAGGTATTCACCGTTTTGTCCTAAAACGGTGATATATTCACCATTTCCTACTAAAACGGTGATATCTTCACCTTTTTAATTTAAAGTGGTGATTGGTTCACCGTTTTAGAGAAAAACAGTGAATACTTCACCGTTTTAATTTAAAACGGTGAAATATTCACCGTGTTTGTCAAACGCGGTGATAGTCTTCACTGCATTTGTCAAAAACGGTGAATACCAAACATGTCTAGTTTTGAAATTTTTTTATAACTTATTTATTTTGAAAATTTTTAAGAACATGTGTACAGTGGGATTTTTTCCTCAAAATATCCTAACCCTTTCCTATCAAAGTACATAAAGTTTTCTACCCCTTTCAACGGCAATGAACATAGAAGAAAAAGAAACTACGTGACCAAGGGACGTGGTCACAAACTCACAATCAATTATGAGAGAAAGGAAAGAAAGTTGGTGGAGTAACTGAAAACCTACGCTTTTGTGGATTGCGACATCCATACTTTCATTTTGAGCTGTCCAAATCAAACATGAAAAGAAAGGGTTAATTGCAAGGTTGGTCACTGGAATTACAAAAAAAGTTTACATTTGGTCACTAGAAATATTTAATTCCATTTGTGGTCATTAAAATTAGTTATATAGTTCAAATTTGGTCACTCTCCGTTCAACTCCGTTAAGTTTTGTTTAGGTGATAGTCAACTTTAATAATTGACGGTTAAATGTGCCACGTGGAAATTTAAAAATTCATAAAAAATAAAATTTGAAAATTTAAAATTTTCAACTCATTACTGTAAAAAAATAAATAAAAAATAAAAACATTTCTTTTAGTTCTCGACGCGCGTTCCCTCCGATCCAACCTCCTTTCTTCAAGAACCAAAAAACGTGGTGTCCGGGTAACTGAAGCCAGAACCTGGGCGGTTCGAATACCTCCTTCTCATCGCATATCTCCTTCCTCATCCAACAATGGATTCGTCGGCTTGGGATTCTTCGCCTCCTTCCACCTAAGCAGTACCGGCCGATGCGGAAGCCGCCCCAGCGCTTTCGTTACCGCCGGTGAAAGCGGAGATCGCGAGCTCCAGGTCCCATCCATGAGCCTGAAGGATCTCCATGCACAAATCGAGATCTTCGTATCAGGGAAAAGCTCTGCTTTCGAATCAGAGAAGATGAAGAAGGATTCGACCATTGCTCAACACGACAATGTTTCCACAGAGAACTCGGTTGTTGTCCACAACGACGCCGTTCCCACAAAGACACGCAGGAGCTGGAGTGATGTCGTATCGGGCAAATTTCCTTTCAGTCCTCAAAGTCTTTAATTCTGTTTGTTTTCGTTTTAAGCAATGTACTTTCTTCAGCCACAAGGATTGTCTTCTTCCTCGTTCTGTCTGTACTGAACACTCAGCTATATAAGCTAAAATCTCAATGAGAAACAACTAAGCTCTCTTCTTTCCAACCCTAACTAGTTGTTATGGTATCAGAGCCTCACCAACCCTAGCCGCCACCAACACAAACAATGGCTACAAATCAAAATGCAACCGTCAATGCTTCAAACGAAGCATCTTCTCCTTCTCAAAATGCTGACCCAATGTCAGATCCATTCTACCTCCACGGTTCAGAACAACCTGGACTCCAGCTTGTTGCAGAAAAGCTCATCCCCATCAACTACATCGACTGGAGTAAAGCATTCCACAATCCCCTAGGTGCCAAGAACAAACTTGGGATTGTAGATGGGTCTATTCCAGACCCAGGTCAAGGTCATGCTAATGCCTGGGTCTGGACAAGGAAGAACATCATGGTTCTTTCCTGGATTCAGCAGGCAGTGGACCCTGGGATCAGGAAAACCATCATGTCCTGCAAGACAACCATGGAAGCTTGGAGGAGCCTGCGTGACAGGTATGGCCAAGGTGACATGGTCAGAATAGCTGAACTAATTGAGTCAATCTGCACACTCAAGCAAGGTAATTCCCATGTCACAGAGTATTATGGCAACCTAATAGCCTTAAGAGACGAGCTTGATAACTATCAACCTATAGAACCATGTGTTTGCACCACCACCAGTCACACTACATGTAGGGCTATGCAGTTGGTTCTAGGTTACAGGGACACCAACTATGTTATTCAGTTCCTACGTGGTCTCAATGACAACTTCACCACTGTGAGGTCCCAAGTCTTGTTTGGAGATGGCTTACCATCAATTGATCGAGTCTTCCAACGCATGCTCCAACATGAGAGACAACTATCTGGTTCTCAATCAGGGAAATCCCTTACCTCAGAAGGCATGACCTTTGCTGCTCAAACAAACCCCAATTACCAAGGCAGAAGGCCACGACCTTACTGCAGATTCTGCAAGTTCACAGGCCACACTGAAAATACCTGTTATCACAAACATGGCTGGTCCCCTGGTATGGTCAACCCCAAGAATCCAAACACTGCCACCAAACCTGTGGAATGCACTCACTGCAAAAAAAAAAAAAAAGGTCATACTGAAGACAAATGTTTCCAAAAACATGGTTATCCACCAAGAACTACTACTAGAGGCAAGGTCACTGTCAACGCCACTACTACTGCTGCTGACAATTATGAAATCAAGCTCACCAACGCTGAATATGAGAAATTCATGAGCATCATGAAGGCACAGGAATCAGGAAAGCCATCACAGAGCCCTGCTTCCTCCTTTTCTGCTGCAACTTGGGCCAACCATACTCTTGGACCCTCAGGTAAATTCACATTCACTGCTCACCATGATCCTTCATCACAGCACACTTGGATCCTTGATACAGGAGCTTCAGACCACATTGTCTGCTCCTTGGACTATCTGGTTCAATCCAGAAAGGTACCAAACATTCCCATTACTCTACCTACTAGTGCTCAAGTCGAAGAAACTCATGTTGGCACAATTACTTGTGTTGCAGACCTTGTCCTTGAAAATTCTCTCTTTGTCCCACAGTTCAATTTCAACCTCAATCTGTGAGCAAACTGACAACCAACCCTTCTCTTCACTTAACCTTCTTTTCCAATGTGTGTCTCATACAGGATTTGCAGTTGAGGAGGATAATTGGTTTTCTAAGCTCACCAATGGCCTTTATTTTTTTGATAGCAACCTCATCCCTAGGACAACCAAACATTTTGCAGCAACCACTCCACCTAATTTTGACCTCTGGCACTATAGATTAGGCCATGTTTCTCATTCCAAAATTCCTCTTTTGAGGAAACTATGTCAATCCATAGAAACATATACCTCTTCCCCTTGTGATACATGTCATTTTGCTAGACAAAAGAAGCTTCCTTTTCCTTGTAGCAACACTGTTTGCAAACAAGCATTTGAACTTATACCTGTTGATCTATGGGTCCTTTTGCAGTTCCTAGCCATGATGGTTTTCAATATTTTTTGACCATTGTGGATGACTTTATTAGGATGACTTGGATCATCTTGTTGCAAGCAAAATCTGAAACCAGAACCAAACTCCAACACTTCTGTCATCATGCACACACAATTTCAACTACCAGTCAAAAGGATCCGTAGTGATCAAGGAAAAGAATTTCAAATGCATGATTTTTTAAACAACTGGCATTCTACATGAACAATCCTGTGTTGAGACTCCACAGCAAAACAACAAGGTGGAAAGAAAATATCAACACATCCTTGCTGTTGCTCGTGCTCGTGCTCTCAAATTCCAAGCAAACCTCCCTACTGATTTTTGGACAGATTGTGTTAGACATGCAGTCCACTTAATCAACCGTGTTCCCACTCCTGTTCTAGCCAACCAAACACCCTATTAAAAGCTTTTTCACAAACCCCTGAACTCAATGAACTAAGGGGTCGTTTGGATGAGGAATTCTAATGGATCAATCTGACACAATTGTCTCGTTTTGAGTCAATTGTGCTAGATTGATCCGTTTGGCAGCAGAAAATTTGGATGAAGCAATTTGGGCTGGGGAATTCTGAATTGACTCATTTTGAGCCAATTACAATTGTCTGGGGTGGGGGCAGGTAATCTGAATTGACTCGTTTTAAATGACTCGTTTTGTAAAATGAAACAATTGGTCAAATTGTCTCGTTTTACAATTGATCCATCCAAACGACCCCTAAGAGTTTTTGGGTGCTTGTGTTATGCCTCCACCTTGTCCAGTCACAAAACCAAACTTGATCCTAGATCACGCAAATGTGTGTTCCTAGGATTTACTACTGGCATCAAAGGCTACAAACTCTATGACTTAGCCAGCCATGAGGTTTTCACCTCTCGAGATGTTCATTTCTATGAGGAACATTTCCCTTTCAAACAAGTCCAGACCACTTATCCTAATTCTAGTCCCTACTCTTCCTCTCCCAACCCAGCTCTATATGATGATTTCAGCCCCCTCTACAATCCCACAACACTTGTTCCATCTGATCCAGAACCAACCATCAATGACCTGCACTTTGAAACAAACATTCCTCCTTCCAGTCCCATTACCTCTCCTACTCCACCACCTGCCCCACCACAACCTCCTGGCCCACCCACTAGAAAGTCTAGCAGAAACATCAAACCACCCAAACATCTCCAATCCTACCATTGCAACCTCCTTCAGCAGATTCCTTCCACCAATCATTCTTCACAACAGCAAACTCCAGGTATGACATACCCTCTTTCTTCTGTCATTGGTTACTCTAATCTCTCACCATCTCACAAACATTTTGCTCTAAGGATTTCCACACTCAAAGAACTAGAGACATACCAGGAAGCCTTTTTATCTGATGAGTGGAATGCTGCCATGAAGTCTGAGACACAAGCACTGGAAGCAAACCACACCCGGGACATTGTTGAACTTCCTGCAAACACAAGAGTAATAGGCAACAAGTGGGTATACAAATTCAAGTTCAAATCAGATGGAAGCCTTGAAAGAAGGAAAGTCAGACTTGTTGCCAAAGGTTTCAATCAACAAGAAGGGGTTGATTACAAAGATAAATGTGCTCCAGTGATAAAAATGTACACCATCAGATTATTCCTAGCCATTGCTGCCCCCCAATCTTGGTTTGTGCACCATCTTGATGTCAACAATGCATTCTTGCATGGTGACGTGGATCAAGATGTCTACATGAGGCTGCCACCAGGTTACTACACCTCCTCCAGGATTCAAACACCCTGTATGCAAACTCAGGAAGTCTCTTTATGGTCTAAAGCAGGCTTCCAGACAGTGGTTTTCCAAGTTAGCTGAGAAACTTTCTCACCAAGGTTATCAGTCAAGCAAGGTTGATCACTCCCTCTTCTTCAAGTCCACTGGAACCTCCTATACTTGTATCCTCGTCTATGTTGATGACCTGGTAGTTGGTGGCACTGATCTAGCTGAAATCACCAACCTCAAATCTTACCTTCATCAGGAGTTCAGCATCAAAGACCTCGGCAACCTCAAATTCTTCTTGGGAATTGAAGTTGCTCGCAGCAAAACTGGTATTCACATATCTCAGCGCAAATACACTCTCGAAATCTTGGAGGAAGCAAACCTTCTTCATGCCAAACCTGCTTCTACACCAAATGATTACAAGCAGCACCTATCTGCTTCACATTCTGACCCATTTCCAGACCCATAAACCTACCGCCGTTTGGTTGGGAAGCTCATCTTTCTCACCATCACTCGTCCAAACATAAGTTACGCCACACAACAGGCAAGTCAATACATGACCAACCCCAGCAATGACCACTTCAAAGCTGTCCTTCGCATCCTTCGTTATCTTAAGACTGCTCCATCCTGTGGCATTTTATTCTCTGCATCTTCATCTCTTCATCTCAAAGCTTTTAGTGACTCTGACTGGGCGGCCTGCATTGACACCCGCCGTTCAGTCACTGGCTACTGCGTCTACTTGGGGGACTCACTAATTTCCCGGAAGAGCAAGAAACAAACAACCATCTCTCACTCATCATGCGAGGCAGAGTACAGGGCACTCGCCTTCACCACCTGCGAGATTCAATGGCTCCTCTATCTTCTCAACGAATTCAACATCAAACATCCGTAGTCTGCCACTCTTTACTGCGACAACCAATCGGCGATTTACATCGCAGAGAATCCAACCTTCCACGAGAGGACCAAACATATTGAACTTGACTGCCATTTTGTTCGTGAAAAACTACTTGCAGGCATAATCAAGATTCTCCATCTTTCCAGTCTGCATCAGTTGGCCGACATTCTCACAAAACCACTCCTGCCGGC